CCTACCCCCCCCACGTCCTTCCCTGTAACGCTTTGGCCTTTGGTGTAACTCACGACGAGGCTCACGCCTCTACCGGATCTATCAGACCGTAGGGGTAGGAGCACAAGATCGGGCTGATGATTGTGCGGGTAACAGGTAGCGCCCCCTTCCCTCGCGTGTAACGCTTCCCCGGTAACGCTATCATTGCCAGTCCTAAGCGTTACACGGCGCGCACTACTTGCATATAGCAGCGCCGCCAGTGCTGCTGATTGTGCGGGCAGCGCAGCTCCGCCATGTAACGCTGCAGCTATGTAACGTTACAGCGCCGCCCGCACCGCCAAACTCTCGAGAGCAGCAGCACTATACAGGGGCTCCCGCAACGAGTTGTGCTGCTACTTGTTGGCTTGTGTTTTTTTTCTTCCGGGAAGTAGGCGGCGGCGGCAGACCCGGAGGCGGGCAGCAGCCGCCGTGGCGCTCAAAGAACCCCCCCGCGGCCGCCCCGCCACAAAGTGGTTATGATAATTACTTCGACAGCCGTAGGCTAGGCTCTGGAAGGTGCGGCCCCCGCCGTGTATTTCCGAATCTAATTAGCCTATCCGGAACAAAGACAACATTCCCCCGGACACGGACGGCGGCTCCGGCGAAGAGGGAGGGGGAGAGCGCTAACCGGAAACGCAAGGAAGAGCAAGGGGACGATGGCGGCGGCAGGCGCGGACGGGGAGAGAATTCACACAGCCGTTTGCGGTCGAGGAGAGAGAGAGCGGTCGTCCGCCACCGGGCGACAACGCTTTTGGGTGACGTGCCGCGGCGTGCCAGCAGCTTAACGGGGCTGTAAAACAGCGACGGCAAAGCAAAGTGGCGGGAAAAACAACAACAGGTGACACAAAAGAGGAAAAAAAACAAAACAGGAGCAGCGGAATAAAAATGTGTAGTATACCGAGTTTACGACAGAATGTAAAGTTTGGACGTGTGATCTTTGTCACCTTCCGGTCCTTGACACCCATGCACCTCGCTCTCTCTAAAAAACGGACACATATTCTCTCTTTGCGTTGTCCTCTTCTTTCTCATTTGCCGTCTCCATCGATCCTAGTTTGCAGAGCTAGAGCGGTGAGTGGATAGAGAGAGGGAGAATGAGAGAGAGAGAGGGGGACGGGGGGGGGGGCGATAACCCGTTGCTCACTCGCACTCTCTTTGTCGCGGGCCGGCTCATTGTAAAATTGGCAAACAGACCGGATGTCGTCTCTCCCCTTCTCTTCTGTCCCCTTTTCCTTTGCTATCGCCTTGCGGTGGCACGGGCC